GAGTAATCCTGTAAACGTAAACAGAATATTTTATATAGATTTTTTTTAATGAAAACTTAAAATCCTGCATTATTTTCCGGACAACCCAATAGGATTTCTAAAGATTAGTTGTCTCACACCTCATAATATCGATGCCACGGCGAATGCAAACGGTGGTCAACGTAAGAGCAAGAAATACCCCATAGTGATATTTTTATATATTTTATTATATTTTCTTTATAGTTTCTATAGCAAAATTTTCGTAAATTCATTAAGGTTTTTGATGTAAAAAAGTCAGTGTCCCAAGCGGGATTCGAACCCACCATCTTCGGCTAGAAACGACGCTGTTCTACTGCTGAGCTATCGTGACTTCGATCCACTCGGACCTTAACTTCCTATCTCAACCCCACCTTTTGAATTTTTTGATCTCAAAAACTAAAAACCTTAATTAATTGAAAGATATTAATTGGTCAAGCGGACCACGAAAACTAGTGAATTTTTGGTAAAATTGTTTTACAGAGTTTAATTTTTCATTTTGCTTTATCTATATTTTTCTTTAAAAATATCGAATAAACAACAAAAATAAATGTGTAGAGATTAGTGACAGTTAATCGATAGTTATTCAGATATCGTGAGATGCGGTCGGGGGCACTCTCAACACGACACGCAAGGATGCCACAATTACACAGAAGACAAACACTTTGAGCCCTGAAGATGATCTCAATAAAAGATCGAAACGTTGGCACGATAAAGAAAATGTTTTTCCTGAAACCTACATCACACCCGACCGCATCTCACGATATCTGAATAACTAACAAAAATAAAAATTTTAAATTTTGACTTAATGCAATCATTTATTTTTAAAAAAATTAGGGTGGCCACATTTTTGTCTCTCAGTTGTAGTTACTATGTAAGTTGAGTGGTTACATTAAATGTATTTTTTATTACCGTCATATATTTGTAAGGAGTTAAGTTTGAACAGAATACTCAAGGTCCCGATTCAATATAAATAGTTTGCGACTTTTTTAAAGAAATGAATGCTGGGTAATTTATTAATAATATATAAGGTTAAAGATGGATTTCAGAATTTCGATATTTCTCTGGCATTTTGTCATTGATCAAAATGGAAGCGTTGGTTGCAACCGATATTTATCAACGAAATCGCAAAATATATAGTAACAATTTAATGTTTTTTTTTAGATAATAAAATGGGAAAACGCCTGAAGCCACCAGCGACTACATTCTTTAACGAAGCGGAAGATTATTCCACGCTCAACCTCCTCCGCCACTTTCGCAAGAATATTTCAAAAAGCATTGACGAAAAGGTAAGCCTAGATTAAGTTGCAAATTCGTTTATGAAATAATTTGTTTAACAAAATTTTCTCGCTGTGACAGCACACGATTTAATCTCGCGACGGCTGAGACAACCGCTGCAATCCGATTGAGGTCGGAAAGCCTAATTTCTAGTTTTGGATTAAGAAAAACCTGCCTGGATATAATCAGAAAACGACCCTTTTCAGCTTTTGGAGTAACACGTTTCCAACTTTTAAACTGGGGAGTTTTCGCGATTATTCTAACCATTGAAATGAAATTCATTCCATGTGTTTTGTCTTTATTTACCTCGAGTATTTTTGCCCATAATTATCAAACAATACAATGAAATCAAAATATGTTGGAACGAAGGGTGCGATCAATTTATGTCAAAGAATTATAAATTATTTAAACGGATAATTTCTTCCATTTTCGTCAAATCTTTGTTTGTCCACCTTTGCCTGCCTATTTTCAGCCTATTGTTTAAATTCATTTTTTGCTGCGTGGTTAGAACCCATCGTTCTTCATCCCAGGAAGTGTGCGAACGTAAACAAGCAGTGGACAATTTTTTGCGATGGATTAATTGAAGATAATTGTGTCGGACTTTGGTCCGGCTTAACTGCCCGATAAATTGGTTGTAATCAACTTCATGAATAATAGTTATTAACCCGACGAATGGATTTGTATTGTTTTATCCGTTGTCCACCGATTTATGTCGATATTTCGATTGTGGACGATCGTCTTTTTGCTTTCTATTTGCCCTTCTCTTCAGTGCTTCATTGATATAGGTCTAATGTAATTGATTATTTAAGTTTCCTAATTACCAATACTCTCAATCACCTTGAATTGATTTTTCTCTACAATCCCACAAATAATACTATTGAAAAAACACAAAAGCACTTAAACACAAAAGTCATTTAACTTAGATAAACTTCTTTTTATCGTGGCTACCTACGATTTTTTGCTCTACGAACAAATGTATATATATATATATTCAACGATTTTAGCTGGACAAAACTTCAAAGATTAAAAATCAAATATTTTTATTAAATTATTAAAGATTTTTAATCTTTGAAGTTTTGTCCGTAACCGAACATCAACCATATCTTCCTTCTTTGCTAGAAAGTTTGAACATTGATTTTTGCTAGTAATGATGAAAGAGAAAGAGAGAGAGAAAGGGGGGAGAGGGAGAGAAGTGAGAGAGAGAGAGAGGAGAGAGAGATTGGGAGAGAAGAGAAGAGAAGAGAAGAGAAGAGAGAGAGAGGAGAGGGAGAGAAAGAGAGAGAGAGAGAGAAGACAGAGAGCGGGAGAAAGAGATAGAGGGGGAGAGAGGGAGAAAGAGATAGAGGGGGAGAGAGAGAATATTGTGATAGATAGATAGATAGATAGATAGATAGATAGATAGATAGAGAGAGAGAGAGAGAGAGAGAGAGAGAGAGAGAGAGAGAGAAAGAGAGAACAAGTGAATGAGTTAGTGACTGAAAAAAAGAAAAGGAACGAGCCAGAGAGAGAAGAGAGGTATTGGTCAAGAGAGTGAGAGATAAAAGAAAACAAGCGAGTCGGTGTGAGAAAAAAGAGTGTGAGATAGAGAAAGAGTTAGAGAGTGAGCGGGGGGAGAGAGAGAGAAGGATAGAGGGACAGGGAGACAGACGGGCACGGAGAAAGCAAGAGCGAGAGAGGACAGGGAGAGGAATGGGGAAAACGAATATGTCAGCGAAATGAGAGAGATGGAAAAAGAGAAAGGGTAATAAGAAAGAGAGAGGGGGTGAGAGAGAGAAATAGAGAACCAGTGAGTGAGTTAGTGGCTGACAAAAGAAAAGGAACGAGTCAGAGAGAGGAGAGAGGTATTGGTCAAGAGAGTGAGAGATAAGAGAAAAAAGAAAACAAGCGAGTCAGAGCGGGGAAAAAGAGTGAAAGATAATGGATAGAGAGAGAGAGAGAGAGAGAGAGAGTGAGAGAGAGAGAGAGTGAGAGAGAAGTAAAAGGAAGGAGAGAAAGAAAAATGAGCAAAGAAAGTAAGATAAAAGAAAGAGAGAGTAGGAGATAGTGAGAAAGATGGGTTAACAGAGTGAGAAAAGAGAGAAAAATGAGAACGAGTGGGAGGAAAACAAAACTAGCAAAAATACAAACGGAGAGAGTATGAAAGGGAGAAAACTCTAAAGAAAATGGTGGCTACTGAAGTATATTTTAAAGAGATATATATCGAGAAAATTTTAAAAAATGAGAAGTGAGGATTCTCAGCCACATTCTACTTAGTACAGAAATGGTCGTGCACTGTGAAACTATCAATTACTACAAACTAGTAAAAGTCAAGTTTTTCAATACCAAGCTAAAATATTCTAGGCAGAAAAACGCATAAATTTAAATAGACACGAGCATTAAAATTTTTGAAATTGTCAAAATATTTATAAAAAGGATACTTGTAAAAACTAGGTAAAATGCAGGCCATTTTTAAAAACTAAAAATTAATTGCTATAGATAAATAAAGAAAAAACGTGAATTTATAAAGCAAATTGTGTAAGTAATTAAAAGAAATATAATGTATATTTTTAAAGACAGATTTTCAAACCTGGTTCAACAAGGTTCTGTTCATTAATTATTTAGCAAATAAGTTGTTTGTATTATTTTTCTTTAAGTAGTTTATTCGAATTGTTGTTATTTTATAATGCAATTAGAAACATTAGTTACCCCAATACGTTGTTTCAAAAAATGTCTAATAAATTATAAAGATTAATTAGGCGAAATGAACGAGAAATCAGAAGAAAGGGAACTTTTATATTCGCCAAGATTCAAAGGCCATAAATTTTAAGGTCGGTAGTAAAGCAGAGGCGGTAAACATTTTACGATTACATGCTATGTTTTATTTTATTTATTTTTTTAATGTAAATTTGGCAATGAAATTGACATAAACGTTTTTTTAATATGCGTTAATTTATTTTTCAGGGATAATTATGGAGGTGGACGGGCTGAAAATTTTGACAACTGACATTTACCCAAGTGATATTGGCTATAATGCCAGTTTGAACATAACTTATAATGAAACGATCGTCACAATCGAGTACCTGAATATCACAAAAGAGCTTCCTATAAAATATGCCCAGCCTATGTACGGCTACATAATGCCATTCCTCCTGTTGATCACCATAGTCGCCAACACCCTCATAGTCGTCGTCCTGTCGAAAAGGCATATGAGAACACCGACCAACGCCGTCCTCATGGCAATGGCTCTAACCGATATGTTCACCCTGCTGTTTCCGGCACCGTGGCTCTTCTACATGTACACCTTTGGAAACCATTACAAGCCGCTGTCACCGGTTGGAGCTTGCTACGCATGGAATTACATGAACGAAGTCATACCTGCTCTTTTTCACACAGCTTCAATTTGGCTGACTTTAGCTCTGGCAGTACAGAGGTGAGAACTCATTTAAAATCCATCTGTAGAATTTTCCCCTTTACAACTTTCAATTATTTAAAATTTTCTGATTACAAGGAGAACTTACAGACGTGGGACTACGGTCTTAATAAACCTTTTTTGGGGATACTAGGTCGAACAATGTTGAATCTTGTCCGAACGTTCTTGTCAATTGGACCTTAAGAACCGAAAAAATTAAGTTATTTAATTATTTTATTTTAAATATGGTTTGCTGTTTTTATTAGGCATGGATTTTAAGGTTATGTTATTTGTATAAGGTTATGTGTATTATAATAAGGTTATATGTCAGCCGATTTGTTATTTTTTATGTAGGATATAAAAATAGTATACAAAATCGTATTAAATGGTATTAGTAATATAAATGTTTAAAAAAACCAAAAGAACCTTTCAGTAAAGTAGGTCAAAACAATTCGGATTAATTTTAAGTACCATTTCGGGGCCTTTGAATACTATTTTATTGCAATCAAAACACATAAATATTCGGGCTGGATTAGCGAGTTTGTTTTGGTTTTTTCCTATTTCCGGGGTTCTACTTAAAAATTCATTACTACTTCGGATTTTATCGTTTGTACGTTATTGCAGCCACTAAAAAGCCGCAATTTTCTTGTTTTATCCTTTTTCAATCGCATTTAAATTTTAGTACGTTATAAGTATATCATATGTATATCAAGTTTAATAGTTTTGTTCTTACCAATTTGTTTAATATTGCAATTGTTTAACAGATATAAAAAATACTTCCCATTTTAGGTGAATTTTATAAAAGCACATATTAAAAAAAATTGCTTATAATCTTAAATTATCCAAATGTAATCCCTGAACATCAATTTGGTTTTCGTAACTGTCATACAGGTATTCAAGAGTTTGTGTGGCAGGTTGATATGTCATTAATAAAAGTAAAAAAAAGAGTGGGCCAATATAGCCTTGAGGTACATTCAAAATGAAATTAAAAGATTGACGGTATTTAACTGTAACGATTTGACACAAACATTCAAATAAGGTTAAAACCATTCCAGAAATTAGCCCTAAGACCATAGGATGAAATTTTCAGGATAAGTATAATAACGTTATAAAAGTCCTTAAAGAAGTATATCTTTTACGGGAGTTCTAGAATGTAGTTTTAATAGATTAGAATTTAATAGATCTGGCCCCTACACTACAATACCAGGTGTACACAGCTGACATTCCATTCCATCCACAAACCACGACACAGACATTGATCCTCTCTAGTAACTCCGATCCTGTCATTTCCAATCGAAAACTCCAACAACGCTTCACACAACTAGTGACTTGGTGTGAAAAGAAAATAATAAAATTTAACACAGAAAATCCTCCGACATTATCTTCACTCTACGTTAAAAGACGTCCCTTCCTTAACTTAAATAATAAATATTCCGCTCCCCACTGCGGACAAAGGTACCGACTGGATATCGACGAACGCTTGACGTGGAATCCTCACTCACGACTGAAACTGCAAGTAGTTACGACAAGATGCAGGGATTATGCACGACTTCTTCACAAACGTTCCAAGCACAACAACCAAATTGCCCAATCCTTGTATGAAAAATCCTTGATGCTTCGATTTAAGTATGGAATGTGATTACACATCCAGACTTAAATATTCTTTCGTTCAAATCCGTTCCCATTGCCGTAAATTTCACATAACCTTCCCAACCACCATAAATCAGCACGTTCAAATCCGGATTTCCGACGAAATTCCTCGAACTTTTCTCGGCGTCTGAAGAGACGACGGCCGCGAGATCTCCTTCGCGATGAGAGTGAAAATGTTAATAACAAAATTGTTAATAAAACAGACAACATTTTAGTACGATTTGCGAAATATCAATGGTTTTTTTTTTTTCAATGCTTGTTTTTAATTATGTACATATTTCCTACCTCATTGTTACGTGTTACTGAATTGAAGGTAGGTGTAATGTACTACAATTTAAAAAAATATATGTACATATTTCCAATTTAACTTATTTGGGGAGGGATTTAAGACTCCTGTAAAGTTACCAGTGGATCTGCCGATTTGTTCTAAAATAATCAGTGTTTTTGTTATTTAATTTTAAAAAATTATTTCCCCAAAACTCTGTATGCAGAGGGAGTGTGAAATTAGATCAAGATTAGATAAATTAGATTAAATTAGATCTTGACAAAAGAAAATATTGTATCCTAAATCCTTTGCTACGTCCCTTGATCACAAACCATATATTTCACCAAGTTTGGGGGGGCCTTGGGGCACGGCAGCGGGCACAAATCGCTGTTCCGGTACCTCAGGGCTATAGGGATTTTTAAATGTATATAGTTTTATGTGTTTGTGTTGTGTCTGTGTTTGACTTTATGTTAATTTATTGGAATGAATGTAATTTATTAGCATGAAAGGAAGGGATGATTAAACCCCNCGATGACCTCAGCTGTTTGTTGGCCCATAAACTTCCCACTTATATATATTCACCAAGTTATATAATTATGATCCGGACGAGAGTTTTATTTAAATCGGAAATTCCACGGCCGTAGCCTCCCCCTCGTCAGTGTTGTGCTTACATTAACCATTTTTGGTTGATCTGTTACCAGGAGTTTAAGTTTGAAGTAAGCCATCCAGATTGATCCAAATTGTAATTGACTTCTTCACATTAAAATATGAAGGGTTATAGCAGATAAAAATAATCGATTTATCATATAACTTAATAATTTATGTAGGCCTTTCAAAAGCCGTGAAAAACCGATAGCTTAATCCATTATATTTACTGGTCTATTGACGAAATTACTTCATTCAATGAATTAATCTTTTAATATAAGGTTTTGGTTGAAATGAAAAAGCTAGTACCACGAGCGGGATTCGAACCTACGACCTTCGGCTAAATACGCCGCTGCTCTACCACTTGAACTATCGTCACTTCGATCCACTCCGACACCAACTACACTGCTACTTCTTAGAGAAAAACATAGTATAGACCACTTTGTCTACAGATTATTACCACGCGTAATTAATTTTAAAAAATTAAACAATCGACTCGGGTTGAAAAACTGATTTATACACTGCACACCAACCAAAAGTGGTAGGTAGGCTCAACTCTGTGCAGATGTGCATGCATGCACATGTGCACATTTGAAACCATTTGAAAAGCGAAAATCTGGTTTTTGCACGAAAAAATGGCCATCTTTGAAAATGGATATTTTCTCCGTCTTTTAAGTCACAGACCTGCGCTTGGTCTCACTTTTAGAAAATTTTACGCTGAACAAGATGGCTTTTCTTAATGTTTTCATAGCCTCAGTCATTCATCAATTAGATCATGAGACAGACTGATCGGTTTTTTCCATGAGTACTAAAATACCACGTTTGCCCAAAAATGGCGAATAACCAGAAAACGGTTGAGAAATCGGGCAAGTGGAAGGTGACCAATTGAAAGCTTATTAAAATTTCCTTTCGATTGCTATAGAGCGTCGCTCCAAAGACGATTTCCCGGGTCCACAGCTCAATTTGAACTTTTCGTAAAAAGTGCAACAATTAACATTTTCCCGAATCATTATATTTCGTGCTCCGATTGACCAAATAATTTATTTCAATTAATTAATCGTTTTATAAAGTATTGGTTGAAATAAAAAAGCCACTACCCATCCCAACCTATTTTTTTTTTTCGAAAAATGACAAAAAGGAGGGAAAATTCGACAGGTTGTAGGTTGGGTTGGTGAGTTGGTGTGCGAGTGGATCGAAGACTCGACCGCCTCAAGTGGTTAGAGCAGCGGCGAATTGAGCCGAAGGTCGTGCGTTCGAATCCCGCTCGTGACACTAGCTTTTTCATTTTAACCAAAACCTTACATAAAACGTTATAAGGTTAAAGTTCACTTGGTTATCAAGGATGTTGTCAAATAAAATATTTTTAATTTCAATCTTCGCCTAGCTTTCGGATCTGTATTGTACCTTCAGGGCTCTATAAAAGGATTTTTTTAAAATACTTTATTTAAATTTTTTACAATATACAGATAAATAGGAAAAAAAGAACAATACGACATGTATAACAATCCGTCTGTCGGGTATGTGGATAACAGACAGTCTGTGATATTATATGTAACTAGTCGTCTAGTCATTTCATAGTTGAAAAGGTGAAGAAAAAAATGAGGGAAAAACTTTCACTATTAGCAAGAAAATAAAACAGTTCAAGTTTATTTACTTCTGACTAAATATCAGTAAGTACAAAAATGGGTGTCATTTTGATTCTATTGGGGTCTATTGATGTTAAATTGGCCAAAATTAACAAATCTATAATATATCATTTTGTAGAGCCCTGAAGAAGGTACAATAAAGTTTCGAAAGCTAGGCGAAAATTTAAAATTAAAAATATTTTATTTGACCACATCCCTGATAACCAAGTGAACATTATCTGCATAAGCTGGTCGATAAATGTACAAAAAAAAGATAGCTTGTTTGTTGTAAGGATTAATGAAATGATATGAGGTTGTATGACGATAATTACAAGCTACGAACTCCCGAGTTGTTTCTAACGTGCAACTGACAGAAACGGCTCAGACGCAAATAGTTGTAAATGTGTTCTCTGACTTGGAACATGTATAATTCCATCATTTAACGAGTTATATAATTGAAATTCATTTTGCATTTGATAGCATTAAGGGGTTAATTAAGAAATAACGTAATGGCTTACCATGAATCAAATATCAACGATTGGCGCGCTATAACGTGGTTTGTCGGACAATCAACACATGTCACGGAATAATTGGATTCAGCACCGTCACGACACGACCAGGCAAAAAAATCAAACAGGCGGCAAACAATAACGGTAACAAATTTACTGTTGATCATGAAGTGCAAAAAGGCTGAAACTTCGAGTATACACAAACACAGCTGGGAGAATTCAGTCTTCTTTGTTGACAAACAAGCTGAGTAAAACGACTTTAGACGATAACAGGGTCTGTTCTGAGGGTAATATTCATTTATCATCGTAGATTTAAGATAATGAACGTAGGAAATCGTTGATTAAAAATAAATGGGAGAAAGATGATATTAACCGAGTCATGGGCCATAGAATCTTCACATAAAGACGAAAAAATCGATGAAAACAATCGCACAATATCCTTACGAGAAGGGAAATAACACTACAACGAACTGTCGTGCGAAACACCACAATGGACAGTGGAAGTTGGATA